CACTCCCAGATGGGACTGTGGTGTACACTGATGGATCAAAAACTGGTATGGGAGCTTATGTGGTCAAGGATAGGGTTATATCTAAACAATATAATGAAACTTCACCTCAAGTTGTAGAATGTCTGATAGTACTGGAGGTTCTTGAGGCTTTTCCAGGACCCCTCAATATTGTATCAGATTCCTCTTATGTGGTTAATGCAGTTAATCTCCTTGAGATAGCTGGAATAATAAGATCCTCCAGCAGAGTTGCTAACATCTTTCAGAAGATACAAGCTGCCTTGTTAAATAGGAGATTTCCTGTTTTCATTACCCATGTCCGAGCACATTCTGGACTCCCAGGTCCCATGTCCTTAGGGAATGACTTAGCAGACAAGGCTACAAAGCTGGTGGCCGCTGCCTTGTCTACCCATGCACAAGCAGCAAAAGAATTCCATAAGCGCTTTCATGTGACGGCTGAGACCTTGCGCCGTCGTTTTGCTCTATCCAGGAAAGAGGCTAGGGAAATTGTTACTCAATGCCAGAATTGCTGCGAATTCTTACCTACTCCCCACATGGGAATAAACCCACGTGGCATTAGACCATTGCAGATGTGGCAGATGGATGTTACTCATATTCCCTCTTTTGGAAGGCTTCAATATGTTCATGTTTCTGTTGACACCTGTTCTGGCGTAATGTTTGCCACACCCCTAACAGGGGAAAAGGCCTCATATGTGATTCAACATTGCCTTGAGGCCTGGAGTGCTTGGGGAAAACCCAGAATTTTAAAAACAGACAATGGACCAGCATATACCTCTCAAAAATTCCGACAGTTTTGTCGGCAAATGGATGTTACCCATCTAACTGGCCTACCTTATAACCCTCAAGGACAGGGCATTGTGGAACGTGCCCATCGTACACTCAAATCATATCTGATTAAACAAAAGGGGAGTATTGAGGATGTTCTACCCTCGGTACCAAGAGTTGCTGTATCCATGGCACTTTTTACCCTTAATTTCTTGAACTGTGATGCCCAAGGCCACACTGCGGCTGATCGCCACAGTTTAGAGCCTGATAGGCCAAAAGAAATGGTAAAATGGAAAGATGTCTTGACTGATCTCTGGAAAGGCCCGGATCCTATTCTTATAAGATCCAGGGGAGCTGTGTGTGTTTTTCCACAGGAGGAAGAAAACCCCCTGTGGATCCCTGAAAGACTCACTCGAAGAGCTCCTTCACAACTCCAGAATAAGAAGGATGGAGGCCAAGTGGGTGATGAAGACTCTCCTACTCAGGATGATGGTTCCTAGTATGATGGGAGAGTTACGGTGGGCCATCATGTCTACCTTCCCCCTACCGATGCCAGTGATGCAGAATGCCCAGGTGTTCCCTAGATTTTTCACAAATAATAGAGAGTTGGGGCTTGCCTTTTTGCCTTTAGATCCTCAGATACAGAGTTTTCAGGATGAGAGAACCTTGTCATTAGTAGGAAGCTTGTGCTTTACTGTGATTTCTTCATTAAAGGATAATTTTATTCATATGGATCCAGAAAGATCTAATGCTAATCCTTTTGAATTAATGGAAGCTGTACTGCTCTTTCTCCTATGATAGTGAGAAGGGACAGATTACTTTTGATTGGAAAGGGGCATTAGGCAACAGTCTGAGTGAGGGACAGAGCTATGGATCATCTGATTGGTCCTCCTCCAATGTTAAGTATACCCCTTTTAAGAGAACTAATTATTCAGCTGCCCTTTATTTGGGTTGTGAGTAATGATACCTTAGGTAAGAATCAGAAAGAAATAAATTGTTCTGCTTAGAATTGTTTTTATGCATTATGCTGGGATGCTATTAAGCACCCTTTTGCTTTGGTAATGCGCATGCCTCGATTTATTCCAGTTCCTGTTGAGGCGCCAAGTAATTTGAGTTTGTTTAGGGAAAAGCGAGATTTTTGGGATCTCTGCTATTATTGTGGGCCTGATAGCCACCGCCGCGGTTACTGCTTCGGTTACCGCCTCGGCCCTTGCACTTTCTGCCACTGTGCAGACAACTCAAACCATTAATGAACTATAGGCCACTGTGACCATGGTCCTAGATAAACAGGCCACTGCCAATTCTCAGATACAAGGAGGCCTGATGTTGGTAAACCAACAGATTAATTTGGTTCAGGAACAATTGGATATATTGTGGCAGATGGCCAAATTGGGATGTGAACAAAGTTGCCTGGCCTTTGTGTCACTTAGTACAATATGAGAATTTTACAAGAGCAGCTAACCTGTCAAAAGCTCTGTCTCAACATTTATTACAGAATTGGACTTTTGAGTTTGAGCAGACACTCCGTGAGTTGAGAATGGCGATCCTGCAAGTGAATTCGACGCATCTGGATCTTTCTCTGATGGAAGACCTCTCCCCCTGGATTTCATCTGCATTTTCTTATTTTAAGGAATGGGTGGGGGTAGGATCATTTAGCCTAGTTCTCTGCTGTGGAATAGTGTTGATGCTTTGGATGGTGTGTACGCTCAGAGCCCAAACAAAAGGAGAAAGTGGTGGTGGCACAAGCACTTGCTGCCTTAGAACACGGAGCATCCCCTGACATTTGGTTAACCATGTTAAAGCAATAGGTCGCTGGCCTCCCAGCTCTTGCACCCCACGAGGCTAGTCTCATTGCACGGGATAGAGTGGGTAGGCTTCAGCAGCCCAAGGAGTTGCAAGGCTAAGCACTGCACAGGAGAGGTCTGCGGTATAACGACTTTCTCCTGGGAGATAAGTCATCTTGCATGAAGGTTCTATGTCATGATCTCCTTCCCCCAGAAAAAAGACATCGGACTGGTCAGGACTTCCTCTGGGGATAAGACCCTGGAGAGGAGCTTTGTACATGTTCCGAATTTGCACATGGGGATTTGACCTCTATCTCCACTCCAAAGTTGTGGGTGTCCTATTGCTTCAAAAATAAATGAATAGGGGGAGATGTGAGGAGCCGCCCTCGCTATCGCTATTGCCGTTAGAAGATGGCGCTGACATCCACTGTCAGTTGGAGTTAACTGTCGCTGTCAGTTAGAGTTAACTGTCGCTGTCAGTTGGAGTTAACCGTTTAAACTGTGCCTCTCCCGTGACGTCATCTGGGGTGATGTGCAAACCACCAATCCCGGCTCTACACATCTCACTCGGAGCTCCTAGGCTTATATAAGGGGCTGGGTTTCTTAGCTTGGGGTCTCCCTCTAAGAAGCTGATCATCTATCTCTCAAGATGCATTAAAGCTTTACTGCAGAAGGATCCGAGTGTTCTGCGTCGTTCTTGCTGGCGAGACGGTAGCGCGGGACATATATCAGTATTGGAGACTGAATGCTGGGTCTTACCTACATTAGGTAAGTGCATTTATGACTAAGACACATTCCCATGAAAGTATGCAGGAATTTTATAACCCCAAACAAACAGGCCTCCAAGGCAGGTTTATTTGCAACTCTGGCTCTACATGTCTCCAAACTAGGTGACTTGAGATGGCAAAGTATCTTTCATCTAATTCCTTCATTTGGTAAGGCTGGGCCTCGGATACAACTAATAGACTCATACAGTTTTCCAATAATTAGGCAAGAGTGTAGTCAAAGCTCATACCCACTATCTACAAGACATAATACTCAGTAGGTGCCAGTTATCACCACTAACAGTGCTACTAGCACAGAGGGTGATGGATTTTCTCTGAAAGAGGTTTCTTTTGTAATGTTTGTTTCACTAGCTAATTCCAAACTCTGGAACCACATCAAAAAAAAAAAAAAACAGAAATAGTCAATAAGAAAAATACCATTTTTGTTAGCATGAGTATTTATATAGTATCTATTCAACATATTTACTTCACATCTAGTTGAATCCATTCCTAGGCTGATTTTCTGTTAATAAAACTTAGCCGAATCTGATCACAACTGTTTGAGTAGGAAAGACATGACCCGTCTGTTTGCAGAAAATATTATTTGCCTAGCAAATAACTGAAGGTAGAAGCTCTATATTAAAAAGGAGATTTAAATCATCCAAAATATTTAAGCATTGAAACACCCATTAACCATTAAATGCATTAATTTGGGGGCTCATATGCATAATTGGGCTATGGATAGTATATAAATTATAACAGATCTTGGGTAACCATATATTCCACACCAAGAATTTAATTAATTGTGGATTAAACATTATAGGAGGAAAAGTGAATCTGTATTAAATCCATGCAGATTTATCATCTTGTTATTGCTCTCTGGACTCTACATTAGACAGCTGTGTACTTAAAATGTATGCGGACTGGCTATTATACACAATTGGGAGATGATACAAAGAATGCAGGAGGACGTATGTAAATCAGAGGCAAGTAATTCGCCATGTGAGGGTGTGAGCCTCCATGGGGTTTCGTATACACAGGGGCTTATCGATCTAATATTTCCCAGACACTGAGAGACTGGCCCAGACTGACAGCCAGGACTTTAAAGCAATTATTATCTTCCCTGTTAAAAACATAGAGAAAGGTAGTTTTCTAAGGTAGCGTTACTGTGTCATTTAATCAAGCTGGGTCACCAAGGACCCCGGGTTCAGGAAGAGCTCATTCAAAAATAGTGCATCCCAAACAGGCCGCCACTGATGTTTATAGTCAGTCCTGTGACAGATGACTGTTTAACGTTTCTGAATTAAAAAGCTACTGAGACAATAGTAGTTCAAGCTCTATATGTTTCCAGACACCCACAATGGAAAAGATGTTAAAGCAAGAAGTTTGAAGCCGGTGAATGCAACATAATTTTGGAGAAGTGCAACAGGCTAGACCCAGCACCACTGAACTACCTGGAACACATTTAAGACATGTCAGACACTTTCTATGTAGTATGATTTCCCGCCAGTCTGGTCCCACAGCCACAGGAGCCCCAAATAAACACGCAGATGCTATATATCAATTATGAAACTCTCGGTCGATGTCTAGAGTTTCTTATTGGCTAGCCCTGTCTTAATTATTAACCCATTTCTATTAATCAAAGTATTTCCACGTGGTCTTGGCTTACCAGAGAAAGGTCCGGACCTCTAGCTACTTTGGAAACTCACATGATGACCGCTAAGCGGCTCCAGAGAGAAGAGAGTGATTTCCTGTTTGTCCCTGCTTATATCCTGATTCTGCCCAGCTACGTCACTTCCTGTCTAGCCAATAAGCCCATCAGTGTTTTATTCATGAACCGACAAGAGAAACATATACACAGAAGACCATTCCCCGCCACTTTATATATTAAGAAACCTTCTCCTCATTTTTATCCTTGATAGAGTTTCAGTCTTTCTTTAGGCTGCCGTAACATTACAACCATTTTGGGGTGTTAGTAGTTAAACAGTGAGGATACAGGCGACTGAAACACAGACACTTAAAAAAATATTTTAAAACTAAAATCTGTGCAGATGGGGGCTCCTTGAGACTGTAAAGCACAGCGTATACTTATAATGTTCAACCTGTAAACTAATGAAATAACTATTGGCTCTGCTCCTTCGACTCTTGGGGGCTTGCGGGAGGAAAGGGGCATCTTTAACCCTCAGATTTATAACCCCAGATTGCCAGGAGAGAAGCCCATGTTCATTTTGTGTAGGTTTTAGCTCCCATGGGAGGCCTCATGAAATCAGTCACACAGAGGAAGCTCCCTGCACCTATGAGGTGAGTGTTAAGGAGAGAACCACCAGGCAGATTTGCAACTGCACAGCAGGTCGCATCTAAGGGCAGCCAAGTCGGGGATGCACAAGTCCTACTTGTCACATTCTTCTGTCCCTTGACTTTCAGATATAAAAGCCTTCCCTTCCTGTGGGCCTGAGACTGTCGCCTGCCTCATAACGGTGCCGCGATCTCTTCCAGGAGAGGGTGAAAGAAAAGATAAGTTTTATGGCCTGCTCCAGGAAGAATTCATAATGAGGTTTTCTCAGTTTCCTTTCAATTTCAAAGAGCTCAGTGCAAACAGGCAACCTATTTGGAAAGAGTGTGTTTGTGAAATCAGAGGGGATAAAAACAATACAAGCATAAAATGAAAGGACATTCAAAAATTCATATTTGTTGTTTCGATCCCATTAATTTGTAATTCGTATGCATAAAAGTAGACAGCATGACAAGGAGGACGTAGGTCTGAGGGAAAGGAGAAGCCACATCTCAACCAATATTGTTATTGTAGTGATTGTCTGCTGCATTTTAATAGGAAGAAATAAGTCTCAGGATAAACTTCTAACTTCTTTGCATTGTGAATAAAGAAGTACAAACTACAGAGATATGTGAGCATGGGCATTGTGTCTACCCAGTCTATAGTTGGAACAAAGCAAACTAACTCTCTGTGGTTACTTCATGTAAAATACCTGAATTTGTTTTAGCTGTGTCAAACCGTTTTTGCCAGAATTGAAGAGGCAACAGAAACATGATATGGACTATAGCAACGTGTGTGTAAAGCAGCAAAGCTAATTATTCATTTAGGCTTTGTCTTGGAATGACATTTATGAAATTATGAACACTTCCACTTTTAAGGTAGTCTAATTATTGGGTTAAAATTTAAAAAGCAAACATTGGAAACTTTCTATTATAATGAAATCATGTTCTTCAGCTCACTTGACAGCATCACTTTCAAAGCTATAATTGCAATTCACGGAGACTATAAATTTGTAACAATGTGGACAAGAAAATAACTCTTTGCTTAATATTGACAAACAACTTAATAACCATCTGTACTAGTGAAATTACAATCCCTAATACTTCAGAATAATGATTTGTATGTTAATTTCCATGAAGTCAAAATGTATTTAGATATACTGCTTTATTCTAAATAAAGCTTATTATGAGGCTTACTGTTTCAATTCTATAAAATGGAAAATAAATAAGAATACAATCCTATTAAAGGTTTGCTACTTAAGGCAAAGTTATTATTTACCATGTAAATTTCTAGGAAGATAGGAAAGTGCGAGTTATATATCTGAGACAGATGAAGTATAAGAATGGGGAGACCATGTATTCAATTCCCATCATTAATAGGAAATTTTGTAATTTATGTCCAAGCTAAAACACTGTAGTGAGTGAAACTGGAATTATTCTGGAACCATGTGTATCAACGTTGGTGTTTTCCAGACAAACTATGTCCTATATACAACATAAGCAGAATCTGCCAACAGGCTAAGCATAGGGATTTCTTATAAACAATACTAATAATTGTTGTTCGTTAGCACGATGGCCAGTTTTGGCAAATGAAATGAGTAAACCAACCTTCTAAAACAGATTACAGGAAGGAGTAGCACCCCCCATCACTCAGTTAGCCTGCTACCCTTAGGTCTCTGCTTTGTGGCTCAGGGTCTCCGTGGTGGTGGTGCAGGGTTCTCACACACAGCAAGACTGTAGAAGCAGGCATTCCCAGGAAACACCTGAACCGACCTTGAGTATTTTCTTGCAGTGTTCAAGGCTCTTCCTCATTGTCACAAGTGTAATACAACAGCACAGGAAAGACTTAGCTCGCTATTTGTTTGAGAGTTCTCATTGCCCATGGCAGAGAGAGTATGACAAAAGGCAGAAAAGAGCAGCTCACAACACAGCAGCCTGGAAGCAGAGAGAGGTTGGTGGGGATGTTGATATGATTACCATCTTGTGTCTACTGATTGCTTTCCTCAAGGGCCTTCATCCAATGTGATGACGGCACTGACAATCAGAGCAGGCCTTCTCTGCTGGGCTGGTTTTCTCTGGAAACATCTTCGCAGGATGCAAGTGTTCAGGTTGATTTTAATATTTTTTCATGGGTATGTCTGTGCCATATGTCTGAGGAGGCAAGAAGCTAGTGTCTAATCCCTTGGTACTAGAGTTCTAGGCAGTTGTGAATTACCTGGAATGGCTGCTGGGAACTGAACTTGGATCTTATGGAACATCAACAAGTATTTCTAAAGACAAAGCTATCTATTTAACCACAGAATGCCATTTTTAAAGATGCTCTTTACTAATATTTACCTTTATGCTTCCCTCGGTAAAATTAAGGCAGTCAAGATTAACCACTACACTTGTGGGCAAAAGAATTGGGGGGCATAAGGAACACTGATAATGAACCACAATGTTGGAAATTCCAAATAGATAACTTGTTCTGTTACTTACACTATGGGGGAAACTGTTCTCTGTACATGCTTTGATTTAGTCGATCTTCAAAGCATGTTTATGACTTTTATCTTATCATTAATTTACTCACTGAATTTCAAAGGGGTGCTGAACTTGTAATAAGGCCTACCTAATCAGCATGGAAACCTGGATTCGAATCCAGAAGTATGTCTTTGGACTTCATGAGCACAGCCAATACTCTATACTAGATTTGGAAGGATAAACCAGTTTGAACTTGTAATTGACATCCATGTATTAATAATCCTTATCATCAGTCCAACTGAAATATAAGTAGAGTGTTATTAATCTCTTACATGGCTAAGAATGTTTTCTTTGTAGTTGATTACCTCCCCAAAGAGAACGCATACCTAAAAATGAAGGAATCTAAAACTGCTTGAAGGGTGCATTATCCTTCCACAAGATAAATACATACTGATGTTCTTGGAGAAAGGCAGAGGTCCGTATTTTAAGGGTCAGAGAAAAAATACCTCTTTAAGCTCCAAAACCCACAGGAAATCCATAATTCTTTATCCAATGGGCAATCAGTTGAGTGGGCCAAGTATCTATCACTCTAAATATACCTCCCTAAAGCCAGAATGAAGATGATTAGTCAATCAAAATCTTCAGTCAGAAAAGTTCTCTGATGTTGCTGCTCACAGAAGTGTGTCTGTACAACTCTAAACATATGAGTAATGTTAGATATTGTAAGAGCATGAAGAAGGCTCATATTTCTTTCTTCTATGTGACATCAAGTGGCGTTCTATCAGAATATTCTAAATATACTTCACAACCAGGTAGCTTCCATGCATTTGTTAAAAAGTAGCCAGCCTATGTTTTCTTCTTTTACTAAAAATATGTTTTTGCATAATATATCCTAGCTCTGATTTCCTCTTCCTCTATTCCCCCCTTCTGTCCTTTCCATTTTTATCTACCTCCTTTCTTCTCTCATTAGAAAACAAACAGAAATCTAAGGAAGAATAACAAAATATAATTATACTCTAATCAGACAAAACAAACAGAAGGAAAAGAAACCAAAAAAAAGGCACAAGAAACAAATACTGATGCAGAGACACACTCAGGAATCCCACAAAACACAAAACTTGAGGCTATATATATATATGAGAAAGGATCTGAAGGGTAAAATAAAAACTTGAAAAAGCAGCCCAGAGATGAGAGGTTCCAAATATAATATAGTTGAAGACATAAAAACAAAGAATGAAGACCATTTGATGCAATAAAATATTTCTTTCTTTTGATAACTTTTTTGAAATAATCTCAAAACTAAAGGAACATTGGAAGCACCATACAGAAAACTGCTACAATCATTTTGGTCTTACTTATGAAATTTTATAATCTTGCCATATTATAATTTTTCACTACCTCTGAAACTGCCTGTCTACACAGATGCCTACACTAAAAGTTGGAAATCATTTTCAAATGTTAAGGAATAGTCCCATTTGTACACTGTGTAGATCTGTTGTTCCCACTGGTTAATAAAGAGCTAATGGCCAATAGCTAGGCAGGAAGAGGTTAGGTAGGACCTGCAGACAGGGGAAAAAAAGAGAGTATGGAGATGAAGAGGGGAGTTACCAGGGGGCACTGGGAGAAGCAAGATGAACATACCTTGCTTAAAAAAAAAAAAGCTATCACCACATGGTAGAGCGTAGATAAGAAACATGGGCTAAGATAAATTGTAAGAACTAGTTAGTAACAAGCCTAAGCTATTAACCAAGCATTTATAATTAATAATAAGTTTCTATGTCATTCATCAAGGAGCCATCAGTCCAGATGAAAAACTCTGCCTAAACAAACTGTATATACTGCCATTTTAAGCCTGTGTGTTTTCTGAGAACAAGTATATTCTCTTACGTAACAGTAATAACCAGCCTGAGAGAATTTAATGTTGGTTTAGCAGCATCGTGCTTGCATCCAAATCGTTTCGTTTCTTTCTGTCGTTTTTCTCTCTGTAATAGGTCTCAATGTGGAGACATATACTGACTGTACTGTTAACATGTTATGTTTCCTTCCAGATGAAAAGTTCATCGGTTATCTTTCAT